GTAGTTTTAAGGAAATTTGCAACAGTTTCCCCTAAATTTTTCAATTTTCTCACATTTTTCTTATCTTCCTACCACCCATATTTATAGGAAAAATTAGTTGAACTTTTTTCCTTGGTTGAATCCATCTCAACCATTCATTTTTCTTAATCTTGGCCATGATTTTGCTTTTAATCTCGAGCCTTTCAATTGGTTTCATCTTAGCCATCCATTTATTTTTTAAGTTTTGTCTCTCCATCTAACCAGTCTCTTTAAACCTATTCATTCAATTTGGGCATTAATTAATGACACCCTAATTATTGAGCTGAAAGGGGCAGCAAAAGGGAGAAAAATCTCTCTCAAAAAGTGCTTAATGTTGGTCCTTAAAGTTACTAATCTTTTCTTTAATTACTCCTTCATAAGTCCCTCAATTTTTTAATTGATTACTTTAGGTCCTTCCTTTAAAGGTTTATTAAAAGCTTTTGAATTCATAAATTTCATATCTAATTTAATTTAAAAGTTCAAACATTTAATTTTATGCAATTAGGTTCCTAATTCTAAAATTTTATTCCATACCTTTCCAAAATTCAATTTCTTTTTGTAATAATTTTAAACACCTCCTAAAAGAACTTAATCATCATTCATATAATTTTTATACACTTACTTAGGCCTTCTAATTAATTATTTAGTGAAAAATTGCACTTATTTCTATAGAAAATATTCTCTATACATAGAAAAATTCAACCAAGTTCATAAAATATTCCTACACATCCTAAATGATTTTTCTATGTCCACTAGATAATTTTCTTACACATTTAAAGCATTCAAATCAATTAATTTACCTCAAAAATTCTATTCATGCACCGTAAGGTTCACATAAAATAATCACAAAACTCTAGAAAATTCATCCAACAACATCGAATAATCTAACACTCCTCTAGCAAACATTCTATGCAAAAAAAATATTTTTTATGCATATTTGACATACTTAGAATAATTATTTTACATAAAATGTCACCATTCATGCATAAAAAAATCCACCAAATATTCACCGAGCATGGAAAAACTATCTTAATCGCTTCCGAATATTCGGCAACATTTAATGGTTATTTCATGCCTACAAAACATTTTTACATGCCTTTAATATCCTTAAATTTGTTAAATAACGAGCTTTAACAAGTACCGGTTGTTACATAACTAATTGATGGTCGAGCCAAATGGATCATGGCACCATAAGAGTTTTTCATTTCAATTTAAAATTTAGAAAAATATTTAATTTACTCTTAAATCGAATATTTATCCTAGAGAAAATACATATTTTAACTCTAGAAAAATTATTCATTATCCTATAATCCATTGCTAGTTTAATTTACCCGAGAATAAATCTTGGTACATACTATTTCAAATTGACCCCTTCTTTCTAAAATTTTCGTACTACTCGTTACTTGATCGAAAGATACATCCTTATCTCTGCACAAAAAGGAAAAAAAAAAGTGAAGTTATAATTTTATGTTTTAATTGTTAGAATATCCTCTTAGTGGTTTTCTTCGAGGATAATGTCAACTTTATTACTTTTTTTTTCAATTAAGATCTTTTTTCTAAAATATTTTCAATCAAACCATTTCATCTAAAATATGTAGATTTTTTCTAGAAAATTCTTGGTCTCGATTCTCTTATAAAATGAATTTTACATCCTCTTATCGCATAAAATAAAATAAGTGCTTTGCGCGGATAACATTAATGTATTTGGATGAAAGGATGTAATTGATAATTTCATATACACAAAAGATCAAATGAATGAAAAATAGGTTTGAAGACCTAATTGAGAGTTTCAATGTAGATCGAAGACTAGATTTAGGTTATCTCTTTCACATACTAAGTAGAATAAAATCTATTTCTAACTACAAGATGGTCGTTCATTGATAAATAAACATTGACTTATAGATTAGGTTTAGAGTTTGGTTCTTGTGGTTAGTATTCATGAGAATTTATTTTTATAACATGTGTAATTGTACGTTAAAGAGTGTCTCTTAATCACGTTAAGGAAAAAATTAATCTCGAAATATGTAAAAATTAATTCAAAAACATCCTTATTACTGAAAAAAAAAGTTCAATTTTAAGGTCTCAAGGTAAAATATCCATGGACCATAATAGTCCTATTTTACCTTTTTTTTTAAAAGACAAGAATATTTTTGATACATTTTTTGTACACTAAAATTAAGTTATATATATATATATATATATATATATATATATATATTTAAATAAGCAAATCATATTGGAATTCGAAGAAATAATTTTTTATTCATTGATTTAACCCATAGTAAACTTCAGTTTGCAAAACAATTTTATTTGAAATTATTTTTTACCACCTCTTATATGATTTGAATTATAATCGATAAAGTTGGGAATCGAAGATCAACCACTAATTGTTAGCTAAGACTCCCTCCAGAAATGGAATCATTTAAAAAACAATATGCTACCAAAATAAAAAACAAACGAAAGGAGAAAAATACATGTGGATCCTCTCCTTACCATAGCCACAGGAGCAAAAAGCAACACTGTTTCATAAAAATATCATACACATCACTGGCATGCTGGACTTCTGCTCCGATAACTGACAGACACTTCCTTACGTGTCTTAACTTGTTACCCTCTCGCCCCTCTATCCCAATCACCAGTCCCTGCTTTTTCCTTCTTTCTCGCTTTATTTAGAACAAAAGCAGGGAAAAAAAAAAAAGAAAACAAACAAACAAACGAACCCAAAGAAAAGCAAATTCATAATTATTAGTGGCAGAAAAAGTGATTATCCCGCTATCTTCACCCGCCACTCAACTCACCGACCATTCATAACTCCCCACGTGGCACTTGGTTAATCTCCGGCTACCCCACTTCGCCGCAAAATGACGTCAACCTAACCAAACTTTGTTGTAAACATGACACAACATGTATAAATGTGAAAGAGTGTTCCAAGTGTATTAGGTAAGGACTAAAAAGTTTTGGGAGGAGGGGTGTGCGTACGTTAAAATGACTAGGGGTGCGCATTTTATGTGATTATAGCGACGTTAACGGGTTGACTGTAGGAACGTTCAAAATACAAAGAAACAAAAGAAATAAAAAAAAGGAAGAGTCTTTTTCAGTGATTATTAGTTTAAAATTTTTTTTTCTGTTTTCTTTTATGGACTTTGAGGTGTGTCTCCTTTGGGTCTTGTTTGCTTTCAAGGAATGGATGGTGGTGATGTTGATTCCTGATACCAACCGCTACTAGTAACAAGGAGAGTGAACTAGTTTTTTCATTTTTGGGGTTTCATTTCTTGAACTTGCTAGAATTGAATTGCTAGCTTGAGAGATTTTGGTACTATGAGCTGAATTGCGCACGCACAGCAAAAGAAAAAAAAAGGGCAAGCTTTCTTCATTTATTAGTGTAATTTTTCCTTTCATGGGAGACATTTCTATTTGGATAGTTGGGAAAGATGAGACTTTTGGCGCCATTTTTGCAAGTTAATGATTCCATTGAAGCATGCTGTAAAGAGGTAAGTAAAGGCCGACGAATGACTTACTTAGTATTTGCTGGATCTTGTTTTTATTTACACTTATGTTTGAACTAATTAGAAAGTGGAAGTTACACAGTATCGGTCTGTACAAAAGCAGCATCCTTACTACGCTTTTCTGTGTTTTTAGTGGTCGTTTCTGAGTTTGTGTGTTAGGTTAGAGAAAGGGTCCTTTCTTTTGAATGTTCTCTTTATGTTTAAGCAATTGCATGTATGCTTGATGCTTATATAAGAACATCTTGACTGATTAAGATTGACTACAGTTCACCATCGATTTTTTGTTCCTTTTTGTTTTGTTTTACCTTTCTTTTATCATAGTTTGTTTTGGGTGATTAAATTTCGTGGAAAAAGAATCATCTCTTGAAGCCTTACTTCAAAAAAAAAAAAAAAACTTGAGATGGATTTCGGCTATATTTTTTGTTGGCCTTAATGTTGGATGAAACTGATTAGGTTTTTGGGTTTTGGAGACAATAGCCACATAATTTATATAGTGATCTTGGACCATTTCTCTTAAGGTAATCTTGCTGATACTATGTTCATTATCAGTGGATAATCCATGTTCAAAATTTTTGAAGAGAAACAAGTCTTGAATCATTTTGAAAAGATCTGTTCTGATTTGAGATGGACATGTGAAGCAAAATTTCCACACCGAGTGTGATTGGTCTTTGATTTATTGTCAATCTATGGAATGTCCTCACATGGTAAAGAGGTTTCTAGAAACAAATATCAATCAAGAAACGGTAGGAAATGTTAGCTAGCAAACGAAGCAACCTGCATCATTCAGTTTTTCAGTTTTTTTAAGCAAGACATGAGGGCACCATTGCTGATTTAGCTCAATATGCTGGATGGAATCTCTAAAACGGGAGTTCTGTGAGAGAATCAATGTTGCACGTTACTCTTGAAAAGTTGTCTGTCTACTCTCTCCCCTGTTCCTACATCGTCTAGCAAAGTAAATATGATATGGTTCGTTGTTTCATATCCACAAAAAATTCTCCCTTACCACCATCCACAACCCCCCCAAGTTTTGTCTTCCTTAATGATGTTGCTAATGCTGCCATTGTTGATTGAGTCCAATACTTCACAAATTTTTAAGTGTTTTAACCTTTGTGAGTGTTTGATCTCTTAGTCCTGTGAGTCTATGTTGTCTGAATGATAACAAGTTACAAATTTTCTTTTGTATGTTTTTTCTCCCGGATAGCACAACAATTCATCAAAATTTGGCAGGAATCTTTAAAAATATCAATTATAAGTAGTCCTTTTGAGCACTGTCCATGGATGAGCATCATTTTGACCAGAATCTTATTTCCCTTTTCTTTTCCATTCTATTGATGTCTTAGATGCATAACATTTCTTGTTTTGCTTAAGAATGACTAGTATCATGCAATCTTATTACTGCATTTTTGTGATGCTTCAGCTGATTAAATATATCTTGTTTCTGCTTAGTTTTCTGTTTTTTATTCGATTTTTTAGAGCATGAGCACTACATCAACTCAAATTGCCGCCATGAGAGGAATGGGCATTTACGAGCCCTTTCATCAGATTAGCTCATGGGGAGATGCCTTCAGAGACGATGGTAGCCTAAATATTGGCCCATCAACAATTGTGCAGGTTGATGCTGGGGTAGACAACAAGGTAATGATGCATGATATTGCCTTCTGATTAATGAATTTCAGGGTTACCTCTGCTTACTAGGCCAGGCCTGACTTTTCTGATTGACTTCCTCTAGACTGAACATGTTTCACATGAATCAATGGAACCATCCAGAAGCGATCAAGAAGCACACAAACCTGCTGATAAGGTTTTGAAACCCCCTCCCTCTCTCAATTAATTAAAAACATATCAGCTATTATTCGTAAATTTCTTATGAATTTTTATTAACTTCGTGTGGAGAAAATGTGTAGCATGTGAATCCTCTGGGAAACTAAATGAAAAGATTTCTTCAATAAAATCCACAAATGGGAACCTATTGTTGCTCTCACATGAAGAATATTAGTACCACGGATAGTGAATTTGTGGATGTTTGAGCATTTGAGAAGCAGCATTTCTTGTTGAACTGGATTACACTCAATGGGATTGCTTGTTCCATTTATCTTTTGTGCAAAGGAGAGAATTCAATGAATAGATGTCTAAGTCTAACAGTGCCCTTGAAATGTGCACAAATCTAACTGCAGACACTAAGACGTTTGGCACAAAATCGCGAAGCTGCTCGTAAAAGCCGCTTGCGGAAAAAGGTATGATTTAATTCTTTCTTATACAGGTATATGCTGATGGAAGGTGTTTAGATATTGTAGCACAGAAGATTCATATTTCAACATTGTTTCCTAGGCCTATGTTCAACAATTAGAATCCAGTCGTTTGAAGTTGGCCCAGTTGGAGCAGGAACTTGAAAGAGCTAGGCATCAGGTGAGATGAAAACTCTATTATCTCTATTATGTTTCACCATATAACAAGATGCGTTTCCCTATTTATCAAGCACTGATGCTATCAAGGATTGCCTGGAACAACAAATTCTCTTCTAACAGCTATTTGAATGCCTTCTGCAGGGTGCTTGCTTAGGCAGTGCATCAGATTCTTGTCATTTAGGATTTTCGGGAACAATAAATCCAGGTTTGTGATTCAATGTGCTTGTAGGTTAAAGTGATGATATTTGTATGCATGGAAATCTTAACACAGCAAAAGCATCATGAAGGAATTTTGAAGTTGAACAGAAGAATATACTTTTAGGACTTCTATGCAGAAACTGATCTGCCTTGAAGGCTTTTCTCTTTTAGGGATTTTGGTCTGAAAACATGGGTGCCATATGCCCCTCCTCATTTTTCGTTGCCAGCTACAGATCAGAAAGATGTTTATAAACTATTTGTTAAATGTTCTGTGCCACAGGACATGTTTATAAAAGCATCATAGGTCCCATTCTCTCTTCTTTCCCCCTTTTTTTTTTTTTGCAAAATACTGGTGGATGCTTGGAGCTAATAAACTAGCCACTAAATGTTTCACCTAAAATTTCCAAATTTGCTTCCTTCACTTGCCCCTGCAGATAATTTATATTTATTTAATAACCATTCAAGTAAGCTCAGAAGTTTTGGTCTTCAATTGCTTAATTACCCCTTGAAAATATTTTGCATCTTTATCATGGTGATTGCATTTATTCTTTAGTTCTTAGATCTGTGTTGTGATTTAATGATTCTGATTATGAATGCACAGGAATTGCTGCATTTGAGATGGAATATGGACATTGGGTTGAAGAACAACTTAAACAAGTTTCAGAACTTAGGAATGCATTGCAAGCTCATACAAGTGATATTGAGCTCCGTATGCTAGTCGAGAATGGCTTGAATCACTACAACAATCTTTTCCGCATGAAAGCAGATGCTGCAAAGGCTGATGTCTTCTATCTGATTTCTGGCAAATGGAGAACGTCAGTAGAACGCTTCTTTCTGTGGATTGGAGGATTTCGTCCATCAGAACTTCTAAATGTAAGGCTTAGTTCCATATAATTTATCATTCAAAGATTGCTTAGGTATTGAAGGTCCCTGATAATGCTGGTGGCCTCTTTATTCATGAATTTTTCAGCTCCTTTTTACACAGGATATAAAGCTATCTTTGTAGCATTATGTATCCTAACTATAGGGTTGTGGCTCTTAATAGTAGCATAGGGAGAAGTCCCTGTCCTGCTATATATTTTGCAGTGATGGACTTCAGTTTCAGCTTCTTCACAAGACTGCATTCCTATGTCTACATTCGATTCAGCTTGCTATTCTATCGCTATTTGCCTGAAGTATCTTTAGAACACATATATAAATCTTATTTGACTGTTTTGTGTTTGGGTGAATTTTTCGTTGTTGTTACCTTGATGGTATTACTCAAAACTTCTAAATCCCCCCACCTGCCCTGCAGGTTCTCATGTCACAACTCGAGCCTTTGACTGATCAACAACTTGCAGATGTCTGTAACCTTCGCCAATCTTCTCAGCAAGCTGAAGATGCTTTAACTCAAGGAATTGATAAACTCCAGCAGACTCTGTCCCAAACCATAGCAGCGGATGTACTCGGTGTTGGGGTTTATGGGGGTCAGATGGCTGATGCAATAGAGAATTTGGAAGCTCTCGAGGGATTTGTGAACCAGGTAATAACCGCTTATTGCCATCAAGTTAGTTACTGTGCACTTGATATCTCTGAAAGCTGCTCATGTTTCATGAATTCCTTCCTCATGCCATAGCTCACTTAACTATTTTGAACAAAACAAAACCAAGTCATATCATACATAATAAACAAATTATCACCGATGAGAATGCTGAATGATAGTATTAATTACAATCCCTCGACTTCTTATCTGTACACTGGATCATGTGTTACTCATTTTAAAAACAGGCCGATCACCTTCGGCAACAAACTCTGCAGCATATGTCGCGGATCTTAACAATACGTCAAGCAGCTCGAGGTTTACTTGCATTAGGAGAGTATTTCCACCGTCTTTGTGCTCTCAGTTCTCTATGGGCTGCCCGTCCTCGTGAACCTGCCTAGTCAACAGAGGTAGGACCCAAGAAAACCACTTATATCTAAGTGGATTCCCCACCAGCACCGGTGCCTCTACAGGGGAATGGGCCCTTGTGGCTTTACAGACAAGTAATCGATCCAGTTATATGTTCTTTTGAAGCAGTCTTTCTCAAGTTTAAATGGTGTAAATATGAATCTTAATGATGCGTGCCTGAAGCAGCAATTTTAGGTAATTAAGTTGAGGCTCGGTGCATGATGTATAGTTAAAGTGTTAGAAAGTTTCATTTGAAATGCAGGCTATGTTCGTACTACATGGCTACTTGTGTAGAAATATGCGTGTTGTTACTTTCTAAGACAATTCCTTGCCATTCTTAATACGATAATATCTGTTGACATTAATTGGCTGCCCCAATGGGCTGAGTAAGATCATTAAATTTCTTGAAGGACGGGCACAGGTGAGCAACTAGAAAACCCACATCTGACATCTGACTGAAACACCCCGAGGTTGACGGCAGACTCAAATTATACATATATATACTAGTTCATATCTTCTCAATTGAAAAAAAAAAGGAGATATATATATAGAATAATAATTAGATTTTTGTTCGCGTTACGCTACGAATTAGGTAAAATATAAAAAAATTATATAAAAAAATTATTTTAATTTGATTGTCTGTTTTATGGTGTGAATCTATAAAAACATATGATATAAAACATATGAAATTAAAGATGAAAAAAATATTTATAACTTTTTAATTAAAAATTTTGTATTTAACTATTTTTTATTTGTGTTTTTCATAATTTTTTTCTTCAAAAAAGGGATTTATACTTGTTAATCCATGGATTATTAACTAAAAAGAAAATTAAATAATTTTTTTTGAAAAGCTTTAATATTTTATAAGATTGTGTCGAAAAACAAAAATAACAATTATTAAAAACTTACATAAAATTGAACAAATAATGTTTTTTATTTTTATTTAATGTTGATGAGAATATCGGTTTTTGAAAAAAATGTGAATTTAATTTTTAAGTATTTATTTACAAAAGAATGAATAATATTAAAATAAATCAAAACTGTCAATAAATATAATTTTAAATTAATTTGATGAGAATTTAAAAAAAATAATAAATTAAGTAATAAAATTTAAATAATAAAAATAATTAATAAAAAATGCTAAAATAAAATGGGACCAAATCACAATACAATTAAAGTTTGAAATTGAAAAAAAAATGTATAGAAAAATTGAGGACCATATGATTTTAAATTAATTGGATGAGAATTTTTTAAAAAATGACAAATTAAAATAGTAAATTTTAAATAATAAAAATAATTAACAAAAAACACTAAAACAAAATGGAATCAAATTACAATACAATTAAAGTTTGAAATTTAAAAAAGTATATATAGAAAAATTAAGGACCAAAGTGTTACAAAAATGCTCGAATAGTGAAAGAAATAGTGATGTATGAGTATATAAATAGTAATTTATGAGTGTATGAACAAGTATTATCAATAGTAAAATATCATTTTATTTTAGTGTTTTTTATAAAGCAACAATTGATATAAAAACTTATATAAAAATTAACAAATTAATTTTTTTTTATTCTTGTGTAATTCTGATGAAAAAACTATTTTTTTAAAATACACACACACACACACAAATTAATCAATAATATTAGTATAAAAAGTTATATTTGATCATTGGATGGTTCTCCTAATTTAAAAATTTTGATTTTAGAATATTAAAAAAAAAAAAACAAATGATTGGTATTATGTATGTAGATGCATATTTAATTTTTTATAAAATCAATTATCTCAATTTTTTAATATATATGTATATATGACCATATTTAGTGGGTTTAGAATGTGCAGTATAAATAAAAAAAATATTAAAAAAATAAATGGCAAGGAATATGTTAAAATTAATAGAATTAAATAAAAAACAACAAAATTAATTTTGACAAATTTTAATTATATAAAGAAGCTTTTTTAATTAATTTTTTTATTAATTGAGCTATGGTGTCTTATACTAAGCATGTAATTTTTAATTAATCCAAATCGGATAGAAATCTAATCCTATTCAATAGAAGAATTTAATTTTACTTCAAATTTTATTTAAAAACTATTTATACTAAATAATTAGTTTAAAAATATTTCCACTTTAATCAATCAATAGGTGTAAACCTTTGCTATATTTTACTCCAAATATATTAATATATCAACTCTAAAGTATTTTTATTATTATTAGAAAAAAAGTAAGGATACCATTAGTTCATTTACTATTAAAAATAAAGGTAGTTTAGTTAACATGCATCAATTATTTGCAAGCAAAAAAAGTTCTTGAAGCACCACCATGCTGGAGCATTAGATGCTATGGGATAAAAATTAAATTCTATGGGATAAAAAGAGAAAGTTACGAAAAAGGAAGAAAAAACAAAGAAATGAGAGGAAAGAAACAAAGGGCCAAAAAGGTAAAATAACACAACAATAAGTCGTATAAAAAAAATAAGGCAAAAAGATAAGGGCAGAAAAAAAAACACAACTTTAGTGGGGCAGCAAATTGCTGCACACGGGTTGGCAGCTGGGTTCAAAAAGCAGGTTAAAAAAAAAAAAAAAAAACCACTGTTTATTGAACAGTGAAAGGAACAGTAAAAATGGCTTGTATTTTAGAGTATTAGTAATATATATATGGGTCGTTGTTCTCGGGTTACCACAGACAATACGATTTAATCAGAGATCCCAACTATTCTTCCTATTTGGAGTTTCCAAGTTGAACTTGAATTGCTTGCTATAAGATTGAAGATTGTCCTGATACGTGTAATTCAGTGAATGATGTTGAAGGGCCAGTGTTAGTGCTTGATGATGATGATCGTCCAAAATGCCGTGAATACAACTTCCTTTACTGTCAGAATAGAAGATTTCACTAAACTCTCAAGGATTTTAATATAAGACGGCCCTAATTCCTGCCAGCTTTTTTACCATTCCCCGCTGCAGTTGCACGGAGGTAAATTTCTCATGGTCTTTAAAAGGCACTGACTACTAAGAGGGGAATTTAAATTCTTGAACTTGAATACAGCCCAATTGCAAGCAACATTTATTTGGTCTAATTCCGGTTGGCAACCAGATATGGACTCAGGTCTGTTTACCGGCAATAATCTCCGATCAATCCATCCGAAGGAACGAACATAGGCAGCTTAGCTAGTGTTTTAATATTATGGGGTAGGAGATTGATGTTTTTGGCAGGTGGGCTACGGGTTTTATTTGTAATTAGCCACCTGTCGTCTTCTATTATATTGGTGTCATCTGGGTTTAGCATAGCTTGCTTTAAGCTCTTATGCGCTTTTTTTAAGGCCCAATACTTGTTTGTAATAAAAAATTGTAACAGTAAATAAAAAATAAAGGCAGAAGTCGGAAGGAGGTAAAACGGTTAACTGTCCATATCAGCTGTCGCTGGAACGGAGAGCTCAGCCGTCCACAAAGGGGGCAGCAAAAGTAAAAAGGCCAAAACAAAACAAAAATAAAACCAAAATACCCTACAAGCATCCAGAGATTCACTCAGATTCCATCGGTCAAGTTCCTATAAAAACAAAAAAAGACGAAGAAGAAAATTTATTATGCATTTCCATCACGTCTTCAACAATCAATTTCGAAATTATTAATCTCTCTCTCAAATTAGTAATTTCATCAATTTGTCGAGGTCGATTAAAATGAGCAGCAGCTTGAGAACATTTTCCAGGCCTCACGCAGTGTTGACGTCATTCATGTTCCGGCACCAACCACGATCCAGAATTAGGGTTTCCTTTCGAACGCCCCCTGATTGTAATAAGCCTCCTCCCTCTTTGTTCTCTCCGTGGCTAATTCACACTAATAACGACCCATGGTTTCGCCTTAATCAGAAGAGAACTGTCGTCCGCGCTTCTTCCAGTTGGACCGAACCTAAATCTCCATACGAAACTCTAGGTATTGATTGCATTTTTGTTCTTCTCTGGTTTCGTTGTTGAGAAAATTAATGAACCAAGAAAAAACACAAAGAAAATTGTCAAACTACTTTTATGTTTTAATTTTTATTTTTCAAGTGCAGAATTGGAAAGGGTTGCTGATGAAGAAGAGATAAAGGTTGCTTATAGACGCTTGGTCAAATATTATCATCCAGATGGTCACTTACCTTACTCTTCTTTATCATAGTATATTAGTTATCAATAATATTTTCTTGCAATATGTTATTTCAAACTTGTTAGTATTACTGTTGTTTTGTGGGTGTTATTTCGAATTGGAGACTTGAATCTGGAACTCCAACCATCGGGGTTTCGGCCTTCACCACTCGGCCAATGCCTCATTGGCACAATTACTGTTCTTGTGGAATGGATTAGAATTAACCTAAGCAAGCATGATTTTATTTTAAAAGAGTTCAGCATCTAGTCTTGCATCTTTTATCAAATGGCTGTATTGAGTTCATTTAGTTTTTTGACAATTTATAGGCATTTTTCTTGTCTCTGTTGTGCTGCTAGACAGGCAATCTACTCACGTCTCTTTAACTACTCTCAGCTGGAGCTCATCTCTTAATTTTTTCCATGTTAAGTCTATGATGGCAGAGGAACTCTAGAGGAAGGAGAAACAGCTGAAGCTAGATTCATCAAGATTCAAGCTGCATACGAGTTGCTAATGGATGACGAGAAGCGAAGACAATACGATATGGATAACAGAGTCAATCCGATGAAGGTAATACTTATTGTTATAGCAGAGCCAAGGTGGTATTAGTGTCAGACATATCCCTTTAATGAATTACAATTTGTTTTCTTTTAGGCCTCACAAGCATGGATGGAGTGGCTTATGAAAAAACGAAAAGCTTTTGATCAACGGGGTGATATGGCCATCTTGGCTTGGGCTGAGCAGCAGCAGCGAGAGATGAATATCCGCGTACGTCGTCTTTCCCGTACGAAGGTATTCAAGCACTTCTGCCCTTTCTCAAGGGGCATGCACTGGATCTCCTTTATCATCATCTAAATATTTTATTTATTCACAATTTTCAAATCAAAGGTCAAATTCAATTAATATCATATTCATATTATGGCAGTAGTTAAACCATATGAATCATATTGTTCTAGTCGATGAGATCTGATCGAAATATCATTCGTAGTAAATAATTGATGGATATTTTTTTTTACCATTGATGTTCTAGTTATGCCCTCACCATGTGTCTCGTGGTGGTATCTTGTACCAATAACAGGACACATCAATAAAACCTAATTACTGATTTCATTTTTGCTAGCACTGTACTTGCTGATCACCGTAGTTGGCTAACACAAATGGCACCATTTAAATATTTTGTTATGCTTGCTTCTTCTTCTTCTTCTTCTTCTTCTTTTTTTTTTTTTTTTGCTTGCTTGTGTTGCTCAAAAATTTGTCTTTTTTTTGGAAGTTTAGACTGACCCAGACGAAGAGAGAAGAATTCTGGCAAAAGAGAAAAAGGCATCCACAGAATATTTTTCAAGTACACTGAAGCGTCACACACTTGTATTGAAGAAAAGGGACTTGAAGCGAAAGAAAGCAGAGGAGGAAAAGAAAAGGTCCATTAGCCAACTTTTAGCTGCAGAAGGGCTTGAGCTGGACACAGATGCTGATGAAGCACTGTAGAGTCATGTTGGTTTTCTTACTCCGTCGCACAACACAGTTTGTCCACTGGCAGCATCGCTGCACATATTCTACTTGTATAAAAGTAAACTGTATATATGATTACTTTTTCTAGTAAGAAATGAATGAGAAGTTGGCATTTAAATCTCTCTCTCTCTCTCTCTCTCTCCGTGGTATTTTTCTCATTCCATTTACCTTTTTTTCCAAGACTTTCTTGTGCAGCTTAGAAGGTTACTCGAGGCAGTTAGACCTCTTAGAAAGCATATCAAGCGTTCCAGTTGGTAGCTTGAACTGTAGAGCATGAATGATGTATAGGTCTTCGAAGTTCTTTGTCCATTCCAGAAATGTTGGAAACATCTTTCTGAGCCAGAGACAGTACAGCCTGGTTAGCAAACCCCACCTGTACATAAGTTATTCTCTTATCTCCTTGTTCTTGTTTTTATTTGTTGGGTGGGTGGGTGGCACCTCTATAAAAAGTTATCCCATGGGTTCTGAATTGCGACAGAATGCAAAGCCAAATCATTGGCTACCATTCTTGATGGCGTATTGTTGTTTTTCAAGGCACCAGCGAGTGGCCAAATAGTGGCGGGATTGGTAAGTGATGGTTGCCCCATGATAAGAATTTAACAAGGCGGAGAGGGACTAAGAAACTCGGTAACTTGTTAGTCCCACCAGCACTGGCGACCACTAAAAAACCATGTGAAGCGTGATCCTACCAGTTGCAGAATTACTTTGGAAGAAGAAAGCTTACATTAGGAGTACATTAATTATCCCGCGTTTATTCCAGACTGGAAACTATTAATAGAGAGGTCACAAACAGTCATTTTTATTCCTTTCGGACAAGGTTTGGTTACATGATACAGAATTATTCAATTGCCTTTTGCATCAACATCTGCTGTTGATTAAATTGAACAGAATTGATTTAAAAAAAAAAAAAAAGCACTTTGACAATGCCACTGAAGTCTTTTAGCATGTAAAACCTCAGAACAAGTGAGAGTGACAACGGTGTGTTGTGTATGTATGGCCTATCTGATGCTGTTTAGCTGGAAAGTCAACAATCAGAATCCTTAACATAAGCTGAATGCCTGCCCACAATTAGTTCAATGAGGGGTTTTTCCACATCAGAATCAGGCTGAGTTTTGTCACAACATACGAGAATCTTCTCATTCCCAGTGACAACTGTAACCTCCTCTTTGCGAGTTGAAAGCTCATTTGCAACAACCATATGCATCCCGTACTTTTTAAGAGCCATTTCAGCTTTCTCCAAAAGAATCTTTGAATCTGTCTCAAGCTGTTGAGAATCCAGTGGGGATCAAAATTAGGGCTAACTAGCAAATAAATCTCAGGTTGAAACCTAGTTAATAATAAGTAACATGTCAAGTTGTGAGCACCTTTTCCTTTCAAGGCAGGCGAAAGGAGAAGTGCACAATCAATAAAAATCTTTCAACAGAATCATATAACACCTCCATTCAAATTCAAATATTACTAATATGAAGTTCTCTACTATAAATGTACAAGCGCATTGTCCAAACAGACAAACATATAGTCAGTGTTCCTTTAAGATATATGAAATTACGAGGGACCACTCTTACTTTGCCTCCCCTGCATGTATATTCAATAAACTGTGATTAAGCAAAAACATGGAACAAAAATTAGGTTTTTGTTCAACAATTATCAACTAACTTGTCCATATAAATGCTCAGTACCCAGCTATAACTCTTTTGTAAACATCTTCAACTGTTCACATACTGTACAGGCTGGTCCAAATGCAGCTCGTGATCTAATAAACCTTTTCAAGGATATGCTCAATCTTTGAATCCCCAAAAAGACATTAAGAAGGATGGCACAACATCTAACCTTGAATGATATGCAGAAGGCCATGGGAACCCATCCTTTCTTCAGCACAGACAGCATTTTTGGGACCTGCACTAGTCGCATGTCCATAGGGCCAGATGCTGACTGGATCTTGTGCTCTGCCTGTGGATATATTCAAGCTAATTAAACCAATAACATACATGCAAGCAATTTCATCTTCCAAATCAATTAACTATCAAGATACCATTCAAACAAATGAAATCCTGGGACTAAATGTTGTCAGAATTAATCAAGAGAGCATGAACAAGTTCTTAGTTATTCAAGTATTACCATGCTTTTCCATGGAACATAAAAGTCAGACACAGCAGCGGCAAGATAAAACACAGCATGTGACCCAAGAGCCCTCACTGACATTGCAATGGTTTGTAACATCTGCCAATGATGCAAGACATTCATTCAACAGATACGGAAGTAGAAAAGCTGTTACGCATATCTGTGTGTGCAAAAAGAATACAGCTTGGACAGAAAGAATAAAAATAGAGAAACCATAAAAACAAAAATAATATTAATTCCTGAAATTCATAAATAAACAGCCAAACCACTGAATGTTTAGTGAAGAATCCATGGCCTGATATGGAAATTGGTAGGAAACACATGAATTTCTGCCAGAGTGTTCAATGTACTAGCGTCACAATTAGAGCTATACTCATCCAACAGGCAACTCTCATGAAATGTATTGCATGCAAAAGCATATGAAAGAACACAAAAACTGATATCCATTATGAGCAAACAAATGGATTTTTTACATGGACACAAGAATTCATAGCAAATTATTACGGCCGTTAGCACATTGCTTTGGTATTTATGGAAACAAATTTAAAACCTGACTGAAGCTAACCTGAAGATACTCAAATATGGTTGTAAATGGAAGTTTTAAAAGGTGACCTCCAGCTACAGCCTGCAACAAACACGAAAGCTTGAATTGGCTCATTGTTATGCTGAGCTAAAAAATTTCCCTCGAACTATACAACAAGTAGGGTCAATTGAGTGAAATTTCTAGAACACTGGATGTAAGTTATCAATAGTTCATACAGCGTGATGATCACTAATGGCTCTCTTCACTGCTTCAGTATATGGTTGGCGCACTGAAATATAAAGAAAAATTGGTTACATAATTGGAAACCTCCATTGTTTATACAATTTGATTCATAACAGAATCAACAAGTTATCGCTGACTATAGCTAATCTTCCAAGAGAAAAAAATTGGTTCAAAATAATATCCGAAGCATATACCACAAAGCTCCTAAACATTCAGTGTTAGACACATTATCTGAACCAAAACAAGGTTTGGAGGTGGAAAGAAGGGCTACACACCTAAGTCGTGCCATAGAAGAATCATTTATGATCAAGTCCAATCCATAAAACTAAAGGACTTCAATCAGCAAACTAAATATGTTTGCAGCAAACAAAAATAACAAACCTCGAATAGAAGAGTCATCAGAGCACTCAAAACATTCAAGTAATGGATCCTCGGGAAGAGATCGGCAATATGGCTGGAAAGTTCCCCTGCATAAGAAAGCCATATATTATCCAAAATAAAAACCTGTTCTTGATTTTTTTTTTTTCCCTCTCTGAGTTGCTGCTCAGCAACAGTTAGTAGCAATGGAAAGGAGCAACAAACATAAAAATTTACCTCCTATATAAAAATATAACAGCATATCCAGCCTTGATAAAATATCTGCAATAAAACCATTCAAAACATACACAATTGAGAACAGTCTATAAAAGGGTCTTTCTATTTGGCAAGTTTCAAAGTTGATTACTCAGTAGAGGTAGCTCCTCTATGGCCTGAGCTGAAATTATCAATGTAACGCACGCAACGTTGCTCCAATGGGACTGTGGTGCCACCAGATGTCACACACACAACCCTCCTAGGACTCCCCTTTCCTGCATTTACTAACTTATCAAAACAACTAACACCTAATTAAACACTAATATTAGAATTATCAATCTATGCAGATGTTCGAGCAACTGAGTTAGTTCTTGCCTGGTGGAGCAGAATTGAATTCAATGAATTCCTTCAATTTCTGGGTAATCCCAGCACTGTCTTTTAGAGGAGGAGCTGAATCAAAAAATGATTCCATTTCTGCATCCAATGGAATTTGTGGTGCTGACCCATTTCTAGAATCCATTCCAAATTCCCTGTGATCAAGGGAAATTAACAGCTAAACCAACATTATTGAATTTAGAGAATTAGACATTCAATGGCAATAGTCATAACCAAAAATAAATAAATAAAAGAAAACCCAAATAGACAAAAAGATATAGAAATATAATAAAAAGGGTTCACGGAGAAATTAAGAGCTTACCCAGAAAACTTAAAAAGCGATAGAGAGGACTGTCAGGTCTGCGGTGGGGAAGAGGAGTGTGCTTTCAATTTATACTAGTAGGAGGAGAAGAAAATAAGCTTACGATATAGTAATTACTATTAGTTTCATTTCCTTTACTTTATTTATTTGTTTTTTGATAATTAAAAAAGAATATTACCATAATAGTAATAGTTTTATGGGATTCAAAGTTGGTTAGGAATTGTAATATTCTTTCAACTTTTTGTGGTGTTATGTAATTATAATTATGATCATGATTTATTGAAACGTGAGTCCACCTCCACTCCCTCCCTCTTTAATAGCCGTGTCTATTCAGCAGTTTTATTCCCGCCAATAGGTACAGCTGATTGAATGGAATTAAGACTGTTGACGGTTAATCAAAATATGGAATACGTCTTCTTGGTGAAAGGTCATAAATGGCATAGTTCGAATCTATGATTTACCATTGGGGGCTTCATTGTTCTTTTTATTTTGAAATCTGTTAAAGCCGATGTCTTTGAAACCCAGGCATCAAATTTGACCACAAAGTCCGGAACTTTTATGTTGAGTTGAGCCTATATTCACTGGATCTTCTTGTCAGACTTATCAAGTTTGACTATAACAGGGCAGGAAAAAGGGTACCTGGTTGTTGTATATACCATACCTAGTAGGAAGAGTGATAATGAAAGTACATGTGGAAAAATGGATAACATGATGGGAGGATTTATTGACAATTTAGTAGCAACATAGTTAGAATCAAGAGAACAGTTGAGAACATTAAGTAACAACGTAACACATGATTAAGAAATCAGACTAGATTGAAATTGACACAAGAAAGTCGACAGAAACCTATACTAGCGGCAATAATATTATTGCTTCCCACATCAACGAAGCAAGCAAGTCATTTCATTGAAATAGTAGGAAATAGTTAGCTCAAGTCACTCCATTTGATTTCATGATTGGATAGCGAACAGAAAATGATGGGACTATCAAAATTGATGATCAAAGTATATGAGGCAAATGATAGCAACAACGAATCCTTTTGGACCAAACCTCTCCAGCCTAAAATATGTCTTCAACCAGGTAGGGATCCATCCATGAATGCAGTTTTCTTTCCTAATATATTTTGGGGTTAGAGTCATTACTTTTCCATTCCAAACCATCGTTTGTATCTCTATATCTTCACTTGCGCAAGTTGGTTAGATTATTTTGTTTAAAAATATATATTAGAAAGATCTAGGTAAGATCTCTTTTTTATCCCTAACTAGTTAACTATCTTGGAAAAATATACACCCCCAAAGATTTTGGTGGAAAAAAATAGCTATTTCTTGATCAATCCTTGCACTAGGAGTTGGTCCATATCACCATCCATCAACCGCTAGCACTGATGTGAAATTTCGGCAATAACACAGCACAAATATTGAAGCGCAGCTGTATTATCTGTGTGTGTTTAAATACATTTCAAAATCAAAGGTGCCATCGTGAGCTGTCTGCAATTCCTTCCACGTGGAATTGTGGTCATCGTATTAATTAGCTAGCGTGCCAACAGCCATCCCACGTAGCAACACAAAATAGAATTAATTAATTAAATTTTAGACCAAAAGAAAAAGTAACGGAAATTGAACCCGACGTGAATCGAACACGCAACCTTCTGATCTGGAGTCAGACGCGCTACCATTGCGCCACGGATCCACAAGCGCTAAGTTTTCTTGGCTAAATGGTCATAAATTAAGGGGCATAAAGTTAAACAGCAGGCCGGTACACATGCTTCCCGCCAAACCCAACTGCCATTGTAAAGCGTCTTAAATACGCGTTCTTTCTGTCAAAACCCAAGAAAATCACTTCTTGGCAGAGAAAAGAAAAGAAAATGGAAGACAAACAAGATGATACCAAGATTAACATTGCAAACCCAATTAAAGATCATCAAGAAACCACACTCTCCTACGATTTCAGAACCGAATTTCTTCAAGACGATAACAAGACCCCATTCTTTAAACCCCGTTCTCGTAGGAGGAGAAGAGACACCTGTGTCATTTTTGCATTCGTTATCATCCACCTGGTAGTCTTTCTTATCACCATGGCCATCAATGATTGTGATCATAACTCTCACGGCGACTGCGCCTTCAAGGCCTTGGGGAGAATGTCGTTTCAGCCTCTTCTTGAAAACCCTTTTCTTGGTCCCTCTGCTTCCACGTAAGCAATCTTCTTCTTTTCTTGGTTTTTGCGTGTTTCTTGCTTGAAAATTGCTCTCTGTTTTTCTGATATTTATCTTGTTTATATGGTTAGTTGATGTTTTAATCGTTGAAAATGGATATCTATTTGTTGATCCATCCCAATTTGTGATCACTCGTTGATGAATATATGCATTAGTGTTGCAATAGTTGTTGTGTTTTTTATTTTATTTTATAAGATTGGGAAAATGTTGCATTGTAGAATGATTGATTAATTGTTTTTAGCTTTACTTTTTCAGCTTCTATGATTGAATAATTGTTTGAAAGGTGTTGCTAGCACCATCTTTTCTGTGCGTTTGATATGTATAGACCTGTTTATTAGAAGAGAACATATTTAGTTGGTCCTTCTGTTATGTGTTAAAATTGATTATGGGTCTGGTTGACTTCTGTTTTATGGGGTTTGGTGCTTATTTGTGTGATTTTGGTATCCCTTTTCGTATATCGTTAATGTGGCTTTGGTTATTGAAATTGGTTTCCACTTATTAATCCTAATTTGCAATCATGTGCCAATGGACATGTACAGCACTCCTACCAATGGCAAATGCAGTTGTTTTTGAAGATCACCTGGGAAATGTTCTATTGCACAGCGGTCGTTTAACTGTCATTGGCTTCTTATAAGTGTATTCCAGAACAGACTTTTGTGTTTTCCGATTCAAGCTTTTAGCTTTCTATCCTTTCCACTTCAATAATTGATAAATTGTTTGAAGGTGATTGTTAGTCCCATTTTTTCCTCCATGTTTGAGAATGCCTAGACCTGTTTATTGGAAGCAAAATGTGATTGTGGATAAACTAAAGAAAGGCGCTTCTCAAATATCAGCAAGGATATCAAAAAAATGTTTGAATTGTCTCCAAGTAATTAAAAGGATGACTCTTGTATGTTTCGTTTATGTAGCTCATTTTATCATAATTAAATATGCGTCTGATGTGTTCCTAAATCCTAATGTGTGTTTATCATACCACATAAGCTGGCCCTTTAATGTCATTATTTTAGTTCATCAAGATTCAACAACCAGAATAATTTCATTTGCTGAAAATTGCACTTGTTCTTTCGCAGCCTAGATAAAATGGGGGCGATTCGCAAGACATTGTTGGCAGAACATCAAACTTGGCGTCTTTTTTTGTGTCCATGGTTGCATGCTGGCGCCTTCCACTTTTTGATCAACATTCTCTGCATTATCTTCATAGGAATTTATCTGGAGAAAGAGTTTGGAGCAAGTAATCTTTTGATTCTAATTTTCTCTGAGCACTCAACTATGTTGCTAGATCTAACATGGACTTGGAATGGTGATTTTTATTATTGCTGTCTGTTTCTTGTGTGCAGTAAGAACTGGGATAATCTACATACTGTCTGCATTTTTCGGTACCTTGGTGACTGCAATTTTTGTCCGAGATAGTCCAGCAGTTTGTTCCTCCGGTGCTCTATTTGGATTGCTTGGGGCTACAGCTTCTGCACTTACAATGAATTGGAAATTTTACACCAATAAGGTCATGCTCATTCTTTTCACATCCTCCACTTATCTCTCTTTTCTGCTGAATTTGATTACCAGCTTACTGGTCCCTCCTTTGTTTGATTTCAGGTTGCAGCTCTGCTGACACTTCTTTTTGTGGCCGCATTCAATTTAATGCTTGGCTTTCTGCCTTACATGGACAACTATTCAAGCATTGGAGGTCTGATATCAGGATTTCTACTTGGACTCGTGCTTTTTTACACCCCTCAGTTTAGGCAAGTGGCTCCAAACAAACTACGCCTTTATGAGTATGGTGTCAAAAGTTCATTTAACTGGAAGCAGAAGTTGGACAGGCCTGTGCTGAGGAGTGTTTCCCTTGTTCTTTTCTCTCTTCTGTGAGTTTTTCTTCTTTGTACGGCAAGTTCTCATCTGTTGCTTGTCAACTTGGTTTTCTGTGTGAGACTAAGAGGAGACTCTTTTATACACAGCCTCGTGGGACTTCTTGTGGCAGTACTCCTAGGCATCAATATAAGCCATCATTGCAGGTTGTGTAGATACGTCGACTGCATTCCTTGCAAAAGGTGGAGTTGCAATGACCTGACGTCATCTTGTGAGGTATAGTTTTGCTTTTGGCACTTCCTTTTGATTTATTTGAAAAACTATTGATTACTAAGACACATGAAAGAAGAAACCAAAACTGAAAATGCTGTATAAATTGGAGTTTTCAAGTTCTCTTTCCTTATGACAAAATAGGAAGCATAATAGAAAGAAGAAATGATCTGGAAGAAGGAAAATTTTTTACTTGTTTTCAAAGGCACCCTGTAGGCCTGTATGACTAGTTTGCTTCAGATAACTGAGTTTTATGGCAAGATTTGCCAAACTAAACAAAGTCAGACCTAAAGGACAGGACATGGAAGAACATGCTCATTTCTAAGCTCAAGATTTATCAAATCTTCATGATATTTGATTAGGCATAGATACACATGGCTGACGAATCCGGTAGAGCTTTGCTTGCACTCATAGTTGTTAAAACTTTGCCCTTCCATCTGCACACGTGGTTGGAAATTGCTTCTTCCATGCCAGTTTCAAATGAATTCTTATTAGTTACTCTATGTAGTTTTTAGATTCTCATGCTAACGCTGATCAAATTGTGATGGCAGACCATGGGAAGCGACAAAGAGTTGACTTTGACCTGCATGGGTAATGGGAACTTCAGAGTTTTCTCCTTTACCAACATTTCTCAAGAAAGGACACGGGATTTATGTACTCTGATATGCTCCTGATACATCCATATCTTCTGCTGATTTTGTAATGATAAAGAAAACCATGTACGCTTTAACGTCAGTCTTCCTTGAGCAGCCATTTAGTCGTATCTGCGGGTAGCATGGTGTCCCTAGTTACCGTAGGAAAAGGTTGCATCACTCGTGCAGTTTGAAATTGAAAGCTTATGAATCCGGCATTAACTTTGAGAATATTGATTGACACGAGAAATATGTGCTTACTTTCTTCATTGATGCTGTATATTAGGCAACTCCTAGATATTGCCGTTGTTCCAAAAATTAGATACATCTCCACACAAATTATGCCACGTGGCTTTTTTTTTGGGACATGTACCAAACTTAGGGACTTCTCTTCCTCGACTTAGGGAACTCAAGATATAGGGGTGGTTCATTTAAGAAATTCCAAACCATAAATAATGGAGCAGTATAAATTCATGATTTAACTGAAATGAATTCTACCACTAGCGCTAGCAAAGAAGAACGATTAGGGAGTGATGACGATAATTTGGGTCGGAAGCCTTCTAGCTTACAGCCTTACAGAGTGAACAATGAACAAAAGCTAGGAGTTTCCCGACAAATTCAAGTGAAAAATTCAAAGTCAACTAGGTTTTTTTTTTTTTTAATCCTAATAAATGGTCAACTGAAGTAGATAATAGCAGATGAACAGGAAGGATGCTCGTCGCTCTGCCGCTTCACCTCTTTTACCGTTTACACTGACTAAACCCTGTTTGCAAAGAGTAATGAAAAATACCATGGCTGGGGCAATTATAGGAGGACCATTCCTCTCCGCTCTCCTTCAGGTTATGTTCGATAGGATGGCTTCTAAGGAATTCGTAGACTTCTTCAAAGGCCAAAAACTAATGATGAGTTGTTGACAGAGTTGAAGATAACAATGAGATCTGTTCATAGGTTGCTTGATGATGCAGAGGAGAAGCAGATCGGTAATCCAGATGTTCGAATGTGGCTCGAAGACCTTAAAGATGCTTTTTATGATGCTGATGACTTGTTGGATGAGATTGCTTATGAAGTTCTACGGCTGGATCAGTCGGAAGATGGATCCCAATTCCCAAATCAACATTTTCAAGGTACGAAACTTCTTCTCTTCTCATAATTTATTTAAGGAGCGAACAAAGATAGAAGGAACCTTAAAAAAAAATCCTTGATAGATTTAAAGATTTAGCAGAACAGAAGGATGTCCTTGGTCTGGGTGAGCGAATTGGAGAAAAACCATTGTTACAGAAAACACTATCCACTTCTTTAGTAGATGAGTCTGGTGTTTATGGTAGAAACGATGATAAGGAAGCCATAGTGAAGTTACCACTGTCATATAATGCACATGGGAGAATCTTCGGTGTGATTCCTATAGTGGGTATGTGCTGGGGACATAGTACAGTTTACAATGACAGCAGATTATAGGATTGGTTTGAACTCACAGAATATGGGTCTGTGCTTCAGAAAAATTTGGTGTTTTCAAGGTCATAAAATATATTTCTCAAGGAGATTGGTTTAGAGAATTGTGACACCAAGACTCAAAATCAACTTCATCTTGAGCTGAAGAAGAGACATATGGGGAAAAGGTGTTAGATTGTTTTAGACTGTGTTTGGAATGATAAGTATGATGATTGGGATCTTATACTCACACCTTCGAAGTAGGGAGCACACAGAAATAAGATTATTGTTACAACATGCAATGAAAGCGTAGCATCAATCATGTCTACCATTCCAAGTCATCATCTAAAGGTATTGAGAGATGATGATTGTTGGCTTTTGTTTGAAAAACATGCATTTGATGATAGAAATTAAATCTCGGGCGCATCCAATCTTAGAATAAATCGGGAGAGATAAAGAGCGAAAAAATGCAAAGACCTACCTTTAGTTGTAAAATCGCTTGCTGGCCTTCTGCACTCCAAAAGAGATGTAGAAGAATGGGATAACATACTAGGGAGCAATATGCGAGATTTTCCGAACTACAGCATTCTTCTAGCTCTACAATTGAGCTATCATTATTTCCCATCAAATCTAAAACGATGCTTGTCTTACCGTGCATAATTTCCCAAGGATTATAAATTTGAAAAGGGGGAGTTGGTCCGTTTATGGATGGCAGAAATTTTTCTAATCCAGCCTCGAGGAAATAAAGAGATGGAAGAAGTAGTGGATGAGTATTTTAACAATCTTGTATCAAGTTCATTTTGTCAGCAATCAAGCAGTCATCCATCATGTTTCATTCTGCATGACCTCGTAAATGACTTCGGTAAATTTGTATCTGCACAATTTTGCTTCATATAGGAGGATGCTGTTGCATGCAAAAATGCTAAGAAGGCTCGTCATTTATCTTATGTTAGAGCAGAGCCTGAAGCATTTGAGGTAGCTATGAACCCCAGCTTTTATGCACTTCTTACTAGTTAAGCAATCATGGAATCTTGATCACATGGATAACGAGGTGCTGCATATTTTACTGCCAACCCTCAAGCGCCTAAGAGTGCAATATCTATCTTGATATTGTTATGCAAGTGAGTTGCCTGGTTCAATTGGGAGAACTTAAAACATTTGCAGTATTTGGATTCCTATCAAGCATCAGTAGTAAATTTATCTGAAATTGTTTGTGCGTTGTACACTTTGCAAACCTTAATCTTGCGTGGCTGCAGATACCTTCTTGAGTTGACAGATTCAATTGGCAGCTTAAGACGTTTACGGTACTAAGATCTTTTAGTACATCAATTGGAAGGTTACCTTGAGAGTAGCTTATGCAATCTACAAACTTTAATTTTGTTCCAATGTAATGACCTCATTGAGTTGCCAGCCAACACGGGAAGCTTGGTTAGTTTGTGTCATCTCGGCATCCAAGAAACAAATTTGCAAGAGATGCCCCCAGCAATGGGCAAATTGAGAAATCTTCTAACGTTGACTAAATTCATCAGTTCTGGGTCTAGGTTAAAAGAGCTGGGGAGCTTCAGCGTCGTCGAGGAACAATTGAAATCTGCTATCTTCAGAATGTTTTGGATGCTGAAGATCCTTTAAAAGCCAATCTGAAGGGTAAAAGGTAGCTGGAACATTTGCAGTTAAGATGGGATGCTGACACTGACAATTCGGTACATGAAAGACATGTACTTGAGCAGTTAGAGCCTCATAAAAACGTGGAATATCTTTCCATTGTCGGTTATGGGAGCACAACATTTTCAGACTGGGTAGGGGACTCTTTTCTGGAATGTAGTGTCCTTGAAGCTTAGTGGATGCAAATACTGCTCAAAATTACCACTACTTGGGCAGTTAGCGTTTCTAAAGCTCCCCGTCATTGAAGCATTTTTGATATGGTGGAGGTTATTTGGACTGAGCTCTATGGAAGTTGCATGAATCCATTTGGATCCCTCGAAGAGTTGAGGTTTTAAAAAATTTCGCAATTGCAAGAATGGATTTCTTGTGAAGGCGGAGCTTTCCCTGTCTTCCAAGAGCTTTACTTAAAAGAATGTCCCAATCTAATGAAGGCCAAGGCCCTGCCTAGTCCCCTTCCTTCTTTAACAATTCTTGAAAAGGGTGTCATCAGTTCGTGGCTGCACTTCCAAGGGTTCCACCTAAGCATAGATTGAAGTTGGATGATGATTTCCGTGATGTCTTGTAATGAAACTGCCTTCTAGACTACATAGTGTTAAGAGTTGATGGATTCCGCTCCATAAATTCTATATTAGAAGGAATGGAGCAAATGAGTGTACCTTCTACTAGTTTAGAAGAAATTGAAATTATAAGTTGTGATTCACTCATGCGCTCCCCATTACAGTTGTTGTCCAAGTTGAAGAGTTTTCGGATCAGTGAATGTCCAAATCTTGAATCTCCTCTTGCACCTGAGACAACTCATGCGAATTTTTATCATCACCTTGTTCCTTGAAAATCTCAGATGCCCCAGTTTAGTACCTTTCCCTAAAGGAGGATTACCTGCCCAAAAGTTGACACTGCTTTTGTGGAATTGCTCAACTTTAAGGTCACTTCCTGAATGCATGCAATCCCTCCTCCGTTCCCTTGAGATTTTGCAACTAGTTAATTGTTCAGAACTGGATTCATTTCCAGAAGGTGGTTTACCCTCCAAATTATAGTCTCTTCGGATCAGAAATTGCAATTGGCATTTGCAAACACTCTCATTTCTCTCTCATTTTAATTTCGGTGAGTACGAAGGTATGGAATCTCTTCCTCAGAAGACGCTGCTGCCAACCAGTCTTATCACTCTTGTTATCTGGGATCTTCCAAGTTCCAATTTCCAAATCTAAAATCTTTGGACTATGAGGGGCTTCAACACCCCCCTGTCTCTCACGCAATTGAGGATCTCGCAATGCCACAAGCTCCAATGCATACCAGAAGAAGGGCTGCCCTCCTCACTGTCTTCTCTAACTATATGCGAATGTCCATTGCTGGAACAACGGTATCAGCAGAATAAAGGAAAAGATTGACCCAAGATTCATCATATCCCAGACATAGAAATTAACTTGAGCACCTGAAGTGAACTAGAAAAATCTCTCTTTTCCGAATCATCCATTAAACTAAGAGGTATTACTTATCAACTATCTTCTTTTCTTTCAAGTTACCAATAACAGTTTCTACAACGTTTATATGCGTACCTAATGGTATTCGTATGCTTGGTGGTTAAAATTTTGCGTCATCATCTGCACCGTATGTGACTACACGCACTGAAATGTTCTGTATTAGAAGAAGAAAATGACCTCGTTGAGAATAAGACCAAAGCAAGAGAGCCTTTATGCTTGCATTTCTTCTTCCTCCACGTGATTCAACTGAGTTTCTTTATTTTTAATGTCCATAGTTTTTAGATTCTCTTGCTTTCCAATCACATATTGCTAGTGCTAATCAGATGCTAATTGCAGACCATGGAAAGTGAGAAAGAGTTGAGTTTGACCTGTGCGGGAAACGGCAACTTCATGGTTTTCCCCTTTATCAACGTTTCGTAAGAAAGGGACTCGGGATTTATGCACTCTGATATGCTCGTGATACATCCATATCTT